AATAAATCTGGATAGAATTGAGATTTTTGGGTTCTGGTGATGAAAGGACAAAGGGTGAATGTGAAAGGTCGAAAGAAAGAATCAGTCTTCCCAAGGGAGGAAACTCACAAAGGATGTAAAAGTCCTTTGATACAGCCAAGGGTTCTTGAATCACTCAAGAGCTTAGGAGAACCACTCTCACTAAGATAAAAGAGCTAAACACCAATATTTCTGAATAAAACTCAACTTGTATTTTTGATAAAAATGATTCAGCTTATATAGAAGTTTTTGCCATCAGAGTTACAAAGACTCAATAAAGGAAAACAAGTGTTAATAATGATACATTAATCTAGGAATTGAAAACTACTTAATGAAGACAAATAAATACTAATAATGATTCATTAACCTAGGAATTAAAAACCAAGGACTACAAGCCGAACTTATCAAAATTTGGAGTGGTTTTTTAACTTGGGATATACTGGTTATTGACGCCTAATTTTTCTCTTGTGTTTCCTAACACTTCTCACGCCAATTCGGACTAAGCCAAGCATCCCTTACATCCTGATTCCATCAGTTCATTCCTAGAGGTGTCACCTACCACTAGTGGCGGATCTTCTTGGGAGTTGAGGGGGGCCGTGACCCCCCTAAAGTTTTGTAACTCCCATGTAATTAATGATTTTGGCCCCCCCCAAACATAATGAGTATTTAATATATTTACTTGTATATTTACAATTTTATCCTCCCAGCCCCTCCTCAGTTTTGTAACTTTCATATAATTTATGATTTTGTTTCTCTCAAACTTAATGATAATTTAATATATTTAAGTATATATCTACAATTTTATCTTTTCAATCTTTCATATTCTTTCTTCCTTTTATATTTATTTATTATTTATTAATAATATATTATTTGGCCCCCCCAAGATCAATGGTCAAGATCCGCCACTGCCTACCACAACTCATCTCTCTGAGAGATCCTCTCGCAATTGATCCCAACGGAGCCCATTGAATACCATCCTTACCCCGTTCGAGTCCAATTTCCTAAGCACTTTTGAATTTTATTTATGGTGAGATCAATGGTTCTCCTTGAGACACTTACCATTTTTTGTCCTAAAAGTTCGAATGGACTTTCACCCTGAATTTCCTATATAGGATAAGACAAAAGCTCCAAAAGATAAATATGAATGCTATCTTCAAATTATAATATTTGAAAACTATTACCAAGAATGCTATGACCCCCATCGATCAGAATTCATCTTTAGGAGTGTAGTTTATTCTTTAAGAGATAAAATTTATCAAAACCAAGAAGCTAGGAAGGTTATAAACCCCTTAGGCAAAACTCCCTTCGAACACTTTTGTCGTGTGAACTTACCAACCTTTCCATATGCCCCTTTTGGGGTTTCCAAACTTTTGACGCACCTTAAATGGGCTGAGACCTTAGATCCCATCACAAACTTTTATATCTGAAACCTGTCAACAAAACTATTACTGTATCAAAACTATCTTATTATCCCTACCTTCACTTACTAGAAATAAACCTTGCCTTATCGTGTGCATCTTAACCAATACACCTTTGTAAGACTTTATTCTCCAAATTTTATTTTATATATCTTTTGCTTGACTCTCATGTGATTCTTCTTCTAGCAATCTCCTCTTCTATCAGAATCGCTGAACCCAAAGAAGAACAGACCTCTGAACCTATCGAAGTACCTGCCTCCCCAAAAGTCCAAAAGAAAAGAAAACTAAAAGGCTTTGCTCACCATCCAGTATGTCTCAATTATCTTTTTCACTTTCTCGATATTTTTTTTTTCACATTCTTTATGTTCTGAATTTATTCTACTTATTTTAATTCTAATTCCAGAAGAAAAAAAAAAAAAAAACACATCCTCCTCCATTTCGACTCCACTTCCATCAACCCAAGTAAGTTTAAGAACCTTACTTATCGAATACTTACTTCAACAAATATGTTGTTATAATTATACTCTCATCATAGAGGTCACACCCTCTACCACCAACATTTCTCTATCAATACCTACCATTATCGAGTTGAACTCTGACTGATGATAATGCTCCACTCACTCGTCACATTAAAAAAAAAACTCAGGTATATATAGTCTCTAAATATTTCGAGTTTGTCTTTCACATAATTTAGTACTTATTATGATTACTCTAATTTCCACAGAAAGAGACTTCTACCAACATCTCAAATAATTTAGATTCTATAATCGAAGTCTTCATCGAACCATCACATCCAACTTCTCTGGACAAGGTATTGTATTTATCCTTAATCTATGAATTTATCATTTCTCTTAATCAATTTTTTGATTTTTCTTACTTTATTGTTCCATGCAAAACAGGAAGTATCCATGTACATAACACTTCCACTCCTATTAAGCCACAAACAGAACCAATTCTTCTAGGTATTTATTCTCAAGAAATATCTCATTCCATTTCCAATACCTGTTTGACAAGTTATTTTGTAATAGAATGTAATTTTTTATTTTCTAATACCTTCCACTTATACTATGGCAGAATCTCTTGACCAAACTGTTGCAGTCCCATCAACAATTGAACAAACTCCTCATGTTATTGATTCATCTATAATGGATCCTAACTTTAAAGTTTCTACTGGCAATGAAGATATCCTTATAGGAGAAATTGAAAAGAATTCATTTAGTATCTTAGACCTCATGACAACACATGAAAAAGCGTTTGAGACTGCAATAAGTTCTTCGTCCACCCTCGTTGAGTTCTGATGTATTGAATTTGGATAAGAAATTTAGATCTTTCATTTATCACTTCACTAAGGAAGTTAGATCTTTCATTTATTAGAACAACTTTTACATATATGAACATGAAAGCTAAATAATTGAATGAAAAAGAGGAGGTTGTGGATAATACTTTATTCAAAAAAAAGATTGTAGGTTCGTTAAGACATTTCTACTACAATTAGATTGATAATAAAAGAATTACTTGCTGCTATAAGAGTTTGTTAGTTAATTAGTATACCCTATTAGTTTATAAATTGAGTATGGTGTAAATAATATTCAAGTTTTGACAACATATGTAGAATTTGAGTACGAAGCCCTCCCAATGACTACTTCCATAACGTGTGAATATAATTTAAGAAGACTAAGAAAAATTTTCTTGCAACTAAATCATTCAATTTTTATTATAAAGTATTCTTTAATTTTTTATATTTCAAAATTTGTTAATTTTAATTTTCATAATATTTTATTTAAAGATAATATAGTCACTAAAATTTAAATAAAATAAGAAAAGTGAATGCGCTTTGTAAAATAATGTAAAAAAAACGATTACATTTACGAAAAAAATATAAGAAAGATAAATATTTATTTAAAAACTAAAGTAGGTATCGATGTCATTTTATTAAAATAAATATAAAAGAAATATGTGTCTATTTTAGAATTAGAGAATGTGACACCTTAGACAAAGTAAGTGTAATTTTTTCCATGAAGTACAATGTTATTTAATGGTCAACAAACTCAATGGATCGGCGTCGAAATACCATAACAATATGAACTACTTTCAAATTTGTTTTCATTGATGTGACTAGTTTATTTAGTATTTCAACTCATAAATAGATTAGTTCCATTTTTTTTTTCATATTGATTGGTGAGCTTAGTTTTCTATCTAATAAAATGGATTTGACAAAATTAAAACATGAAAGTCAGTGGATTGGTTTTATTCTCCCTTTCCTTGTGTTTAAAAGTCATTGGTGTGATAATTTTCTAACCCTTAAAATGGATTAGGAAGGCTATCAATTTAAAGTATTTGGACTAACTTGTATTTTTTTTTCTTTTGATTCTATTGTTGTGCTTAATTTCTAACCATAAATGTATGGAAATAGAAAGATGAACGAACTAAGGTCTTTGATATAGTTTTTTTGTGTGTGCGTGTGATTGATGTGCTAATTTTCTAACCCATATAAAAGTCTTTTATTAGTTTCGTCTTTGAAAAATTTACAGTGCATTTAATTTTCTATCTCATAACACGAATTATAGATTAATAAAATTAATACCTTCAACTCTTTCAATCTTATAAAGTTAGTTTATAAGAGAAGTTTACATCTTACCTATATATTATAATCTAATGATTCATTTCAATTATTATTATAATATCTCAATATCATTAGAATTAACTTTTATATTATTTTAAAAATAGAAAATTGTATAATTTAACAATAAAAATTAATTTATAAGATAAAATTTAAAGTTTAGAGTCATCAATACACTATAATTATTTAGTCAATGCATATTTCAACCTAGTACAAATTTTTAACGGATTCAACTAGGATTTCAACTTTTGTGCAAAGTTTTAAATTGAACTTGGAATGTTAGTAGCTTTAAATGTTATGACTACTTTACTTTTTCTTTTCTTTGATATGTTCTTTTTTTATCTTTGAAGTATATCGTTCTTTACTACTTGTTATTTAAAAAAAAAAACTGACTTTTGATCTCTGTAATTTTATTTTACTTCGGTTTCTTTTAGTTTCTATAAAATTATTATGGGTAAAAAAATACTACATTATAGAGACTAAATAACATTTAAAATATTTTTCTATCTTTTCATGTTAATTATTGGTGTGTTTAATTTTGTAACTCTTAAAATGGACTATAGTAAGAAGATCAATAATTTTTAACTAGCTTCCTTTTTATTGTTTATGTTTACTTCTTTTTTATATAATATTTTTTTACCAAATAGTAAAAAGATGTCACAAAAATATACAGACATATAGTATTACTCGTTTTCATATTTATATATTCTTTATTTCTAATTTTATAACATCAACTTTTGAATATTTCTTTTTCACGAGTCTTTAAGACGTGAATTAGAATCCACTGAGGCTTATAACTGTCACTATAAATAGTGGTATCCAGGTCTCTAAATTTCACAAGGAAAAGAGAAAAATTCGATCACAGTTCTCTCTTGCATTGTCATTATCCTACTGTCACTTCGCTCTTCTCTTAGTTAATATTATTTCTAATCAGCAAAATTACAATGAGTCGTTCTTTTCTCACACTCTTTCATGCTCTACTCCTGCTTTTATTGAATGCCTCAGGGTTTTCTGTGGGATTCAGCGGATCACGTAAAAGTGGAGAAACGAAGTGCAGAGAGAGGGAGAGACAAGCACTCCTTAACATCAAACAAAGCCTGATAGATAAGTATGGCATGCTGTCTACATGGAGTGACGATCATAACAATACAAATTGCTGCAAATGGAAAGGCATTCAATGCAACAATCAAACTGGTCATGTACAAGTACTTGATCTTCATGGTAACTTTGGCTCACACCATTTGGAAGGTGCAATCAATCTCACTTCGTTGACTCACTTGCAATATATTCAATATCTGGATCTCAGCAATAATGATTTTCCATGGAGTCACATTCCACAACTCATTGGCTCCTTCACCAACTTAAGATATCTCGATCTCTCCTTCTGTTTATTTGGTGGGAATATTCCTTCTAAACTTGGAAATCTTTCTAAGCTACAGTATCTAAACCTCGGGGGAAATAATCTTTGGGGACCAATTCCTTTTCAAATTGGGAATCTCTCACACTTACAATATCTTGATCTTGGAGACAGTTATCTTATAGGAGAAATCCCATTTGAAATTGGGAATCTCAAGCGGCTAAAATATCTTAACCTTATGAGTTACTCTCTTTCTGGAACACTCCTTTTTCAGAATGGTAATCTTCCTCTCTTGCATGCTCTAAGACTACGTGGAAATTTTGATATAAAAGTTAAGAATGCAGAGTGGCTGTCTAATCTCTCTTCCTTGACAATTCTTGAGATGACTTCATTGCATAACCTTAGTTCCTCTCGCCAGTGGCTACAATCTATCAGTAAGCTTATTCCAGACTTAAAAGAGTTGAAGCTAGTTGATTGTTCTCTTTCAGATGCTGATATCAAATCTTTGTTTCATTCTCATTCCAACTTTTCAACTTCTCTTACCGTCCTTGCACTACTAGAAAAATGTCAAATAATAACCGAAATCGAGTGACCGAAAAATTTAGTTACTATCGAGTGACCAGAATCGAGTAACCAAATTATTATTTTTTAGTCTAAGTAATGCAGAATTTTCGGTCACAAAAAATCGGTTACTATTTCAGTCACTTTATTATTTGATTTATTTTTTTAATTAATCTATATTTAATTTATGTAATTATTTACTACAAAAATGGTTAATAGTGACTGAAATTAGTGACTAATTTTTTTTATATTTAGTAACTGATTTAGTGACTAAAATTTCAGATCACTAAAAAAATAATTTTTAAACTGATAACTATTTTTCATTTATATAAATATTTTATTTAAAATATTTTAAATATAAATTTACTTAATGATTTAAAATAATTGATAACATTTTTAATAAAATTATAAATATTTAAAAAAAATTGTTTACTAACTTATTAAATAATTTAGTAATATAATTATTTGATTTTATTTTTTAATTTAGCATGTGAATAAAAAAATTAAAATTGATTATTAAATTAGTCACCGAATCGGTCAGCGATTCGGTCACAGAATCGGTCACTAATTCGGTCATCGATTCGGTCACTGAATCGGTCATCGATTCGGTCATCGATTCGGTCATCGATTCGGTCATCGAATCGGTCATCGATTCGGTCATCGAATCGGTCCATTGATCGGTCATCGAATCGGTCACTAAATCAATAATTAAATTAATTATTAATTTAGTCTCTTTTATATATATATATATATACATATATTACTTGTATGTTAATAAAAATGTATTTCAATGTATTTATAAAAAATTAAAATTATTTTAATTACTTGAATTGATATTTTAAATTTATATTAATATCTTGAATAATTTAATAGTTGGATATATATATATATATATATATATATATATATATATATATCACTTTAATTTTTTTAATTAAAATTAATTTCATAAAAAAATTAATATTTGAAAATTAATTTTTTTAATTAAAATTAATTTCATAAAAAAATTAATATTTGAAAATTAAAATGCAAAAAAAAATATATATATATATATATATATATATAAATTTATTTATTTTTTAAAGATGATATATTCAATGTATGTTAAAAAGTTCAAGCCAAACTTGTTTTTATAGAAGATTTTCAAAGCTACTTGGTTTAATTAATCTGTTAAAAGATTCTTTTAATATGTTAAAAGTGCAGTTTTAATCTGTTAAAACTTCTTTTAATCCATTAATACGTTCTTGATTCTTTAACTGATTTGTTTTAAGCGATACGACAACGTTTATATCAATTAAAACACTTTACAAAAAATCTTCTAAGTTGATTTAATCGATTGTTCGCGATTCAATCGATTGAAATACTTGCAAAACTTTCTCCTAAAACTTTTCAAGTTATTTTAAGCTGATAAAAATAAGTTTTAATCGATTAAAACGCTGTGCGAAACTGTTTTAATCGATTGAAAGAGAATTAATCGATTAAAATAGTTATGATCGGTCATAAATGCATTCGACCGATCATAATTGAAACCATATAATAGCGGTTCAAGGGTTAACAGCTATCTAAGTCATATTTTAAGAGCGGTTCCTATGTAACCGCTATCTAAACCTAATCTCGCTTGAGCGACAATATTCTCGCTCGAGCAAAACGCCCCTGCACAAAATTAGTACTCTCGGGTTGTATTTCGCTTGAGCGAGCCTATCTCGCTCGAGCGATAGTTGATTCTGATCGATTATATTTTCGAAATGATCGATCATATTTGATAATTTTTTCAAATATTTAATTATAATCGATTAGTTTTCTAAATTATTGATTAGAATTTATTAGTTTTTCAAATAATAGATTAGAATTGATTAATTTCAAAATATATACTAAAAAAATATAATTAAAACTATAAATTAGTTAAGAATATTGACTATTGTAAAGATAAAGTAGAAACATGAGAGGAGATGAGAATGATAATATAATGATAGAACTTACAAAAATGTAGAATTGAGAAGTTTGAAACAAATAAAAATAAGAAAATAGATATTTAATTACACTTTTAATAAATTTAAGATAATACTAGTTTTAATTTTTATTTTTAAATATTTATTTTAAATATTTAAAACAGAGAAACTATAATTTTAGTTTCTAGCTACTTGAATTTAAAGAATTAAATTTATTATTTAATCTTTTAATTTGTAGAATTAAACTCAATATAATTGTTAAAAATACTTTGTAGAGGCATTTGAGAAAGCTTTTGTCAAAATACTTTGTTTTTAATTGTTAAAAACATTTGTAGAGGCATGTTGCAAAACATAATTGAGATGATATGATAGCGGTTCCACCTTAAATGCTATCTAAAGTATAATTAAGATAGCGGTTAATGGTTAACCGCTATTAGAAGTTCACTTTTAAGAGCGGTTCCTGTGAAAACCGCTATCTAAAACGTATTTCGCTTGAGCGACAATATTCTCGCTCGAGCGAAACTCCAAGTGCACAGAATTCGCATTCGAGGGTGTATTTCGCTTGAGCGACACTACTCTCGCTCGAGCGAAATACGATCCTGATCGATCATAACTTGAAATGACCGATCATAATTGAGAGGATATAATAGCGGTTCCCTCATAACCGCTATCTAAAGTGCTTGAGGTGTATTTCGCTTGAGCGAGACTTCTCTCGCTCAAGCGAAGTACGATTCGATCGATTATATTTTCAAAATGACCAGATCATATTTGATAATTTTTTCAAATAATTAATTATAATCGATTAGTTTTCTAAATTATTGATTAGAATTTATTAGTTTTTCAAATAATAGATTAGAATTGATTAATTTCAAAATATATACTAAAAAATTATAATTAAAACTATAAATTAGTTAAGAATATTGACTATTGTAAAGATAAAGTAGAACATGGGAGGAGATGAGGATGATAATATAATGATAGAACTTACAAAAATGTAGAATTGAGAAGTTTGAAACAAATAAAATTAAGAAAATAGAGATTTAATTACACTTTTAATAAATTTAAGATAATACTAGTTTTGATTTTTATTTTTAAATATTTATTTTAATTATTTCAAACAGAGAAACTATAATTTTAGTTTCTAGCTACTTGAATTTAAAGAATTAAATTTATTATTATTTAATCTTTTAATTTTAGTATTAAAATTTTAAATTATATTTTTCTACTTTGAGAATGAACCATATAATTAAACTCAAAATTGACAATATTATAATACATTTTTGAACTCTTTTGGATTAATTTTTTTTCCTAATTTTTGATAAAGTTAATTTTAATATTTAAAAGTATTTAACATTTTGAATTCTGAAAGGTTTTCTCTAATAGAAAATTTAAAAACATAATATAAAAAAAATAGTTAATATAAGTTTTCAAGTTATTTTAAGCTGATAAAAATAAGTTTTAATCGATTAAAACGCTGTGTAGAAATTGTTTTAATCGATTGAAACTAGATTTTAATCGATTAAAACAGTTATGATCGGTCATAATTGCATTACGACCGATCATAATGGAAACCATATAATAGCGGTTCAACGGTTAACCGCTATCTAAGTGAGCTTTTAAGAGCGGTTCTGTGTAACCGCTATCTAAAGCTGTATCTCGCTTGAGCGACAACTTTCTCGCTCGAGCGAAACGCCTCCTGCACAAAATTGGTACTCTCATGTTGTATTTCGCTTGAGCGAGTCTAGTCTCGCTCGAGCGATAATTGATTCGATCGATTATATTTTTGAAATGATCGATCATATTTGATAATTTTTTCAAATAATTAATTATAATCGATTAGTTTTCTAAATTATTGATTAGAATTGATTAGTTTTTCAAATAATAGATTAGAATTGATTAATTTAAAATATATACTAAAAAATTATAATTAAAACTATAAATTAGTTAAGAATATTGACTATTGTAAAGATAAAGTAGAACATGGGAGGAGATGAGGATGATATAATATAATGATAGAACTTACAAAAATGTAGAATTGAGAAGTTTAAAAAAAAATTAAGAAAATAGAGATTTAATTATACTTTTAATAAATTTAAGATAATACTAGTTTTTAAACCTTTTTCTAATATTTGTTTTTAAAAATATAATATCATTTTTAATATTTTATAGATTTTATATTTATATATTTATAAAAGTAATTAGATTAAATTTATTATCCTCTCATATATTATTATACATTTAGCGTAATTTTAGTTTATTTAAAAATTAGAATACAAATATATTATACCAATATACCATTATATTATTTTCATTGTATATAAATTACAAAATTAATAATTTGTATACTATACTATACTAACATATTATTTGTATACTATACTAATAGTATAATATACTATATTATAATATTATTTGTATACAAAACTAATATCTTTATATATAAATATATAAATATGGAAAGATATAAATATATGTAAAAATATAAACATATAAATATATATAAATATGTAAAGATATAAACATATATCTTTAATATTTTGTAAATGTAAATATAATTTATATATATTTTTAAATCTTTTTCTAATATTTATTTTTAAAAATATAATATTATTTTTAAAATTTAATATTTTTTTTCAAATATATAAATATATAAAGATATAAATGTATAAGGATATAAATAAATATATAAATATATCAATATATAAATATATCAAAATATAAAAATATAAATATATAAATATATTAATATATAAATATATCAATATATAAATATATAAATATATAAATATATATAAATAAATATATATATATATATATATATATACAAATATATCAATATTATCCCCTCATATATTAATATACATTATTAGCATAATTTTAATTTAATTAAAAATTAGAATACAAATATACTATACTATACTAATATACAATTATTTGTAGATTTTATATATTAAAATATATAAATATATTTTTATTTATAGATTTTATATTTATATATTTATACGGATATACATTTATTTGTATATAAATATAATTTATTTGTAAGTTATTATTAAAAGATCCTAGTAGCTCGGTGGTTGGA